TTTTTTTCTTTTGCTTTACAATATTATTATTAATTTTTTTCTTTTTTCTTAGCGGAATGTGAGGAAGATGATTATGAATCTTCATCCTCCTCCAACATTAGGAGGATCATAGACGAGATGGAAATGCGGGATCGTAAGTCGTTTTTTTTATTTTGCTTTATAGTATTATTTTATTTTCTCAATATTTTTTCATAGTGGGGTTATATGATAGCCCCAGATCCCCGTCTCCAACTTCACGAGGGGTAATAATTAATCGGATGGAGGAGGTTGATTGTAAGTCCTTGTTTTTTTTTCTTTTGCTTTACAATATTATTATTAATTTTTTTCTTTTTTCTTAGCGGAATGTGAGGATGATGATAATGAATCTTCATCCTCCTCCTCATCCTCCTCCAACATCGACGAGATGGGAATGCGGGATCGTAAGTCGTTATTTTTTATTTTGCTTTATAGTATTATTTTATTTTCTCAATATTTTTTCATAGTGGGGTTATATGATAACCCCAGATCCCCGTCTCCAACTTCACGAGGGGTAATAATTAATCGGATGGAGGAGGTTGATTGTAAGTCCTTGTTTTTTTCTTTTGCTTTACAATATTATTATTAATTTTTTCTTTTTTGTGTTTGAGGATGTACAAACAAGGTAATGGGGATGGGCGCTCCAGGATATGTAGTGACTTAAAAAATAAATAATTAAATTGGGTTAATTGAGAAAATTAAATTGTATTATTTAAACCTTTTCCGTCTTTTATTTAAATGTATTTTTTTCACGTACATCATTTTTGTTACTGAAAATGCATTAAAACAATTTTATAATTTGTATTATTTTTTTACTTCCTTAATATTAATTATACAATAGCATTTCATTTAGGTCAATTATTCCATTGCTCGGCATTATTGCAGCCGCTAGGTAATTTGACACTTCCGTCGGCGAGGTGTATTGCACCTTGGCGATGCGCCGCGTAGTAATTTTACACCACTTCCGCCCGGCGAGGAGCATTGTATCGCGTAACTCATAATCAGTTTTACTTTAGAAACCGAACTCGTCAAACGTAAACCGCGCGCAATGTCTCTGTGTTTTTTTTACGATCTTTGTGAGTTTAAACCAAAGAAAAAATTTATTCGAAGTTGAGTTGGATGAATTTACCCTATCTATTGTTCATGGAAAAAACGTCTTACGAACCACCATGTCTCGTCGTTAATCTTGTTTCAAGCATATAATTACATGTTCTTAATAATTTATTCAGTTTGGCAGCTATTTGTAAGCTAACAAGTTACGTTTTATTATTATTAATCTACGAAACAGTTGTTCAAGGAAAATTTTAAGCTGCGCCATCTATCTCTCATCAGGTAAACCAACCCTTTTTTAGTTTAACTACACACCACCAGATGGCGCCACATGAATTTTGAATTTCAAATTTCCCACCAAATTTCCTGCGCTGTGACGTCACTTCCTGCGCAGGGAGCAACTTCCGCGCCAGTTCTGAGCAGGGAGCACAGGGAGCAACTTCCGCTCCAGAACTCTCATTATTATACTACTCACAGAATAATAACTGATAATGTTCCCCCTATTACTAAAAGACCATATAGAGTACCTTACAATAAGAAAAAAAATTTACAAGACGAAATTGATAAATTATTAAAAACTAAAGTTATCAGACGTTCAGATTCCCCATGGTCAGCACCAGTTGTCTTGGTGTCAAAAAAAGATCCCTCTGGAAAAGATAAGCTCAGAATGTGCATCGACTACAGAGCATTAAATGCGGTCACTAAACGCGATTATTTTCCGATTCCTATTATAGACGAACAACTTGACTTGTTAGAAAATGCAAATTTATTTTCGGTAATTGATGTTACTTCAGCGTATCATCAAATTGACGTTGAAGAGAGCGATAGAGAAAAAATAGCTTCCTCTGTTCCGGATGGTCATTACGAGTTTAACAAAATGCCCTTTGGTTTAAGTAATGCTCCTTCCACATTTCAAAGATTCATGAATTTTACTCTTTCTGGTTTAATTGGTAATTCTTGTTTAGTTTACCTGGACGATATAGTAATTTACAATTCCTCAGGTGTTAAAGATCATCTAGATAAAATTAAATTCATCTTTGATAAACTACGAGAGACTAATATCAAATTAAGGCCCACTTTTACCACCTCTTGATAAATTTATCCCATAGATAAATTGGCGCTCTTAACCAATGAGAGCGCTTAAAACCGCTGTAACCATGGTAATTATCTATCGGATAAATTTATCAAGAGGTGGTAAAAGTGGGCCTTAAAGCGTAAAAATGTCAGTTTTTGCTAAAAGAGTTTAAATATCTTGGCCATTTAGTCTCAGATCAAGGAATCAAGCCCGACCCGAAGAAAATTCAAGCTATAGTTGATTACCCCATTCCGCAAAATATACGTGAGGTTAGAGGATTTTTGGGTATAGTTGGTTGGCACAGAAAATTTATACCGCGTTATACAGAGTTGGCAAACCGTCTTATTGAATTAACGAAAAAAGATATACCTTTTAAAATTACCCCCGAAATTCAAAATTCAATTCAAAATTTAAAATTTTCATTAACTTCAGAGAGTGTTTTAATTTATCCAAATTTCAACGAACCGTTCATTTTGGCTACGGATGCCAGTGGAATAGGTCTAGATGCAGTTTTAAGTCAAAAGCGTGATAATTTCGAAAAACAGATTGCTTTTGCCAGTAGGAAATTGTGGCGAACATCTAGACGCCAGAGAACTTTCTAAACCATTCAAAATATCTTTCTCCGGTCATCTGGACAGGACACCCTTTTGGTCCAGGCAAAAGGTTCCCGGAAAGCTTTCACCGGAGATGTTACTGGACGCTCTCCGTGGCGAAAATCTGGACGCCAGAAAGCGTTCGAAACTATTCAGAAGAACTCTCTCCGTACATCTGGACAGCAGATCCTTTTGGTCTAGACAAGGACTCGAAGAAAACTTTCACCGGGGATGTTACTGGATTCGGGGATAAAAGGAAGCAGGATCGGTCCGGAGAGATCAGTTAGCAGTTACCATCAGTTCATCAGTTATCGCCTTACCGTCGCGTTGTAGTTTTGATCGACAACCCTCTTCGCGTCTGCACTTTTATTATTGTTGTTTTCATTGTAAATAACTGATCATCGGCCGTTGAAATGGCTGTTAACTCTGAAAAATAATAACAGTTCGAGATTGATGCGTTGGGCTTTACGATTGTCGAGGTAATTCACCGCGATGAAAAAAAACATGGTAATGTTGATGCTCTGAGTCGAATGTATCAAAATGTTAATAATAAGGTTATTAGGGATGATAGTGTTAATGCAATCAATACAACTCCGTTAAATAAAAACCCGTTAAATACAAAAATTCAAGAGAAAATTGGTGATTTGTTTAGTGTAGAAAATTCATGTTCTTTAGCACATTGTGTTTCTGAGGATTTAAGGATGGGAAAGGGGATAGCGAAAATCTTCAAAGAAAAATTCGGAAATGTAACTTATTTAGTAAATCAAAATAGGAAAGTTGGTGAATTTTGTTATTTAAGAAATGGTCCACATTACTTATTTTATCTAATTTCTAAAAGGAAATTTTATGAAAAACCTACTTTAGAATCATTGCAATTATGTCTAGAAAAACTAGCTGTATTTTGCTTTAAAAGAAAAATTAGAAAACTAGCAATGCCAAAAATTGCATGTGGTCTTGACAAATTAAATTGGAATGCTGTAAAATTATTATTAGAAAAAACTTTTGAGAAATACAACATTTTAATTACGGTATTTGATTTACCCGAAAATAACTCAGTTTTCAATATCAATAATGATTCTGAACCGATAGTTACTCCTGTATGGAATCGAGAATCCATTAGAACAGCCCAACAGACAGATCCATTTTGTATAGAGATTGTAGCAGCATTAAAAAATAAGAGTAAACCTGAAATTTGTGAAATTTATTTTTTGGATATAGATAATATTTTATATAGAAGACACAAAATTATTAGTCGATCAGTTAGTAATTCCAAACAGCTTCATTTTCAAAACTTTAAAAACTTATCATGACTTGCCGTTTGTTAGTCATATGGGAATTCAAAAAACTATACAATTAATTTCATCTAGATTTTTTTGGCCTAAAATGAATACGGAAATAGAAAATTAAGTTAAAAGGTGTCATTCACGTAATCAAAAGAAAAGTAGTCCACATTTAGGATTTTTGAACCATTCGAAAGACCTTCAATCGATATAGTAGGGCCCTTAGTTTCAACTTATAAAGGTAATCGTTATTTGCTTACTTTCCAAGATCATTTTTCGAAATATCCCGAGGCTATTCCCTTGCCAGATCACAAGTCCGAAACAATAGCTAGAGCACTAATAGATCACGTGATAACTAGACACGGAACCCCGAAAATCTTGATTTCCGATAAGGGTGCGAATTTTTTATCGAATATAATGAAAGATGTTTGCAAAATTTTGAATATAGAAAGAATTCATACTACTCCTTATCGACCCCAGTCAAACGGTTTAATTGAACGAAGTCGTAGAGTATTCAAAGATATTCTATCTTATTACATTGACAAGAGAAATGATCAAATTGATCAAAGAGATTGGGATGAGTGCATACCATTAGTTCTAATGGCTTATCGCACGCATACTCATAGTGCTACTGGGTTCAGTCCTTACTTTATATTGCACGGTAGAGATCCTATTTTACCCTTAGATGACTTCATCAAACCACACAAGATATTTTATGATTCAGACCAACACAGATATAGTTCATAAACAATTTAATAAAAACTGAATTTGTCTGAGGCCGATAAGGAAGAAAACGAAGTAAAGAACCCTTTTAATATTTTACTACTTGGTAATTCGTCAACTGCCCCTAAGGAAGTAATTACAGATTTCATCGATTTAACCCAAACCGATGATACTGACTTCCTGAGAGATCTCATAGAATGAAAAAAACCCCAACCAGATTTGAGGCTATTTAACAAAAATAATCTCAACATCCCCCCCTCCTAGGGTATCGGGAGGCTAAAGAAAAGGAGGCCGTGCCATTAAGGCGTAGTTGTTAAATGTTTTTTAAAATTCTGACGCACACGTGGGGCATCACTCAACTACGGAGTGGAATTATTTGATAATCCCCCGTAGCAAAATTTTTTTACGTATTGTGGCCTAGGGGTGATGCCTATTTACCAGCTCTAGTCAGGCTGTCGTCTCTTGGAACAGAGCTAGGGCCAACCGCTGGTATTTTAAGTGGTTTAACGCCAGTGCGGTTTAAACCAGGGTGGAGAGGATTAGTGGATGAATACGGGAGAAGGTTTATCCACTAATATGATTTTTTTATTTTCTCCTTTCTCTTCTCCCAACATTAAATGTTTCCGTAAAAATTCATTTTGTTTTATGAATTTTTTTTTCTTTCCATTTTATTGTTAAAGTAAGTAAGGAATCATAATAAATATTGTAACCCTTTTGGGAACTTTGATAAGTAATGTTAATAATGTGTAATAATGTTGTAAAAGTTATTTTGAAGTGTTTAAAAATCAAAGTGTATACATTTTTTTTTATTGTATTTTGGTATAATTATGTCTTGAAGAACTCTGATGATCGTACACTGTTTCCAAATAACATCGACACTTTGGGGCTACCCTATTAGCAAAACTGGAGGAAAGAATAATGTTGGAATTACCCTTACTATA